TGCCGAAACCAAAAACATACACCAAACAGATTTGAAGTGTAGAGTGACTGTAAATGCAATCATTCCCACCAATGATAGCAGATATACGCCAAGTGTTATCTGTTTGAATAGTTTAGTCCAGTCTAAGAGATACCCGCAAACGATTGAACCGAGAATTCCGGCCAAAGTTAACGTAAAGCCCATATAACCCGCTTCTTTCACGTAGTGCTCGCCCAGAGCTCCGGTCACCATCTGATTCAATACAGTGGACACCGCATAGAATACACCGGTATTTAAGCCGTACGTGAAGAATAAGAGGACATAGTTTGGATTCGTGGCCAACGCTTTAAGTGAACCCATAAACGATGAGTTCTCGTTGACCGCCTGTGCGTTGGCCTGCGCTGTGCTCGGAGGCAGATCTGGTTTGTCTTTGAAGAATAACACTATCAACACGAATAACAATGTGGTAAATATAGCCACACCGAAGAACAGTGTCCGCAGACCGGACCCGACCTCTGCGGTGCCGATGATCTTATCGGATACGTCGATAACTGTTGTCGAGGAAAGTGTTGTGATGTCGTGCGAGTCGTTATCATTGCTAAAGTTAGGCACTATTAGAGAGGGGACGAAGAATCCGATAGCAATGCCCACTTGATTGCCAAACACCCCGTAAGCGGTGGCGCGCGACACCTCCTTATCCGAGAACCAAACCGCAGCCAAAAGTGGAGGAATATTAAGGATAAAGAGTTGCGCGACGGCCACAACACTCTGTCCAATCATTGTCACATAAAACCGATCGGTTTCCACACTAAAACACTTGATCCAAGAGCCGAGACAATTGACAAAAGAGCCAAAAAGTATGCAAAATCGGAGTCCTTTAGTGTCGAGAAGGAAAGTGGCCGGAAGTATGCCAGCGATATATGCGGCCATAAATACTACTGAAGTGCAGTTCACCCAAAATGTTGTCGTCCCGTAATATTTGACGACAATATTCTCGATAATCGCGTATTCAATCCATTGAAACGCGTTAGACATCGACAACAGTATAAACAATAGTAAAATAAAATAACGTTTTTTATATAATTTAGTCGTCAAACTGATGGACGTGGAGAGGGTTCCCGTCGTGTCCATCGACTCATTGATTGATGATATATTTGCAGACATGATATATATATTTTCTTCAATAATTTTTTGTGTAAATATAAAAATATATATTTAAAAAACAAATTTTAAAAATTTGTTCAACACTTGTCTTTGAGAGTTAAAAATTAGAGATGAGATGATTGAGTGAATGAGGAAATACTATAATTAGTTGGTTGTCATCAATTGTATATCACATCAAATGCCTTATTTTGCTAATCAATTCAAATTGACATCCGAACCAATAAAAGTCAAAAATGCTTTTCAAATACTATTTAACACAAAAGTTTTGTCAACTTTTTTCAACACTCGTAAGCAAATATTACAATGTAATAATATATTGTATGGAAGTATTTAATCGTATCATAGATTTAGTAGCGTTGAGTTGTTATTTCAAACGATTAGATAGCTTTTGAAGTACAGCACAGACACTGATTTAATCATCACTCGTTACAAGTAATTGTAATATTAATCGAGTATTAAATGTTAAATTGAGATTCAATTTACTTTTATATTAGAGATAATTTATCGATCAATGCATTAAAACACAAATTGTTGAATAATATAATAATAAAATATTTCATTGTTTGATCACTTGAATCACTTGTGTATTCATTTATAAAAAGCCAATATTAAAGATTTCCCTCATTTCCATCCAATATCTGAAAATATTTACCAAACAAATAATTAAATGTTTGAATAAATTTGAAAATTCTGTCGTTTATTACTGTAAATATTGATTTTCAAGCAATTTTTGGTAACTTGTAATATAATCTGTTCAAAAATCACAGCATTTTATATCAATTTCATACACTCGTCTTAAAATACTTGTTTTTATAACCTTCTCGTAAATTGTGATTTATATTTTATATCCAATATAACAGTAATGCCTTTTTCACATTAAAATAGCAAAAACAACTAATAAAATGTTATTTTTGTCCTTAATTTGATAAATTATTTTTAATTTCACATTTATTTAACTTTTCATTCTTAACTTTGACTTTTATTTTTGATTATAAATACGAGATAAAAGTCCATATTTATTGCACACAAAATACTATATAATAAATATCTTTTAAAATATGAATAAAATATGTTATCTTATCGGTCACTCAAAATCAGTTAATTTATATAAATATATTTATTTTAAATATACGGCAAATTCACAAATCAATAAAAACAATTGATTCAATAATTTTATTACATAAACCATTAACACATTATACATGTATGCTATTTAATACCACAAATGCCTTATTAATCGATGTAATAATAATTAGCATTCAAATGGCACAACAAAATATCAGACCATCTATTATGGCACTATTATGTAGTGCTATTCATAGATTGATATCATTTATATTGTTTACCAGAATTGCGTATATATACTGTACAGTGAATATATATAGTGAATGTGGTTTATTAGATAAACCATGGTGATATATTTGGTAACATTTAAATAATATTCTTGTTATAAATAAAGAATATCTAATTCTTGTCTCATTTGTGTCATATTCTGACAATAAATTCTATATATTCTTTGCCTTATTTTGAGTGCATTTTTATTTTTAGACAGAATTGGTTTTGAAGACTTCAAAATAAAAATTCATTTGCCAAATATTCATAGAAATATGGCACCATATATTGTAATAGTAACGTGGCACATTTAGAATATGCTTAAATATGTAAGATGGTAATATTTAAAAATTATATTTCATATTTATGGCTGTGAACGACCGCTTATCTGGTTTATGGGTTTATTCATATGTGCTTTCAATTAAAACATCCCTATATTTGTGTATTTATTTTAAAACTTAAATATTTATTTTAAGAGCATTTCAAATGAATTTAAAAAATTAAATAAAAAAAATTTGAGGCAATGAATAGAAATAATATGAAAATAAATTGTTAATTAAATGAACAAAATAAATAGAGAATGGTCAATTAGAAATGAACATACAAAACATGTCAATCACTTATAACACCTGATTTAGATATAGTTTGGCATAAGTTTTAGTGAACAGAATATAGAGAATAATGTTTAAAACATATGACAATACCTTTAATGAGGTGTAAACGCAATGAATTGTTTCTCACATTGATTTCAGGCATCGTTTCAATGCATTTAATGCACACTCTATTCAACACATCATTCAATACAAACACAACTGTATTGCGAATTGCAATCAATGGCTCATAAATAACGTCTAATAATGAATACATCAATATTTGAGTCAAACCACGAGTTATGGTATGAAATAACATATGATTTGCTACTTATTAGTCGCGATTTGATGTAAACATCACTGCATTTGAAGTTTGAATTGCGGTCTGAATTGCGGTTTAAGACTAATTGTTGCGATCATTGAGTGTTTGTTTTGGCAGCGAATGAATGGATGTATAGTTTAAGTGTATTATAGCGACAATTATTGCCTCAAATGTGGTGTAAATTATGGGCAAAAACAACAAACTCTTCCTTCTTATGCCAAATCACAGGCGAAACGCATCCAAACTGTCGGCACCCAAACCAACCATCGATGACCGGTCTGTTGTCTCATACCATACCATCGCCGCCACTATTAATGCCAATGTCTTTGTGTCTGTAGAGTGGAGACAATCGCGTCGTCGATATCTCCGAAACACATAAATTTACCCAAACTTTGGTCCGAAAACGAGTTGCTCTTTGAGTTGCAATCGATGGTTGTGTTCATCATTTCGATGTCCACACAGTATCTCAATCTCTACCGAACCGTCTGGTGGTTACCCCAGTCTCACACCAACATCGCTATGGTTTGTCACCAATCACTCCATCCCTTCCTCCACTTACCACTAATTCTGGGTTTGTTTTTCTTCTCAAAGAACTTCCATTTGATTGATGTAAATGTGGTTCAATTCTGCGTCCTCTTCATCGGTCGTCCATTTGTCCTCCATTTGGCACATGTTGTGAGTGAACGGCTCGACTGATGGCCACTTCAATGTGGACACTATTAACGGTTGTTCTGTTTGCAGATAACGCCAGCGCTTCCATTATTTTTGCGGTCATTTTATTTATACAGCTCTTCGCTCGTGATATTACTGGTCTGTATTTGCGGTCACATCCGGTGTTCGGTAAACATCTACTCGAGTGCCGGCATAACAGGCATTCTGTGCATATCGTATCCAATCGTGATCTATGTGTTGATGTATTGTCCGAATCTGATCCGCGCGTACGAGTCGTCTAAAACAAACGGAACGCCAATCAATTGGTTGGCGGGACTGCAGTCACTAATACTGCCGACAAAGTTCTCGAGTCAACAGCCGTCACACAACTGCACCACAAGTGCCGAAATGGTTCGCCAAGAAGTGGACCGATTGAAGACGTCGTTCAACGAGAGATTAAAATTTATATTATTTCGTTCACTACTCATAGCATACTATTCATCATTCGTTAACCTATGCTTCGCTCACAACCATCTCTATTACGACATGAGTTGGACGGCACAGCATGTGGTCATCTCATGGATGACATCCTTCCTTATGCTTACCTCTCACTTATATTCGCCGCAATTCTACGATATTCTGCACAAGTCTTCACTCCATTTGGGAAAGTGGGCTAAACTGGAGACCAGAAACACATTGGTTCCATGCAATCAATGGTCAGACAATCTCCTCTATGGACAGGGAGTTGTTGTCAAGTATTCAAAAGAGTACTTTAAATCCGAAGGCAGTACTAATTGTGCGGAACCGGGAAATCAATCGCATCTCCGCTATTATGTCAGTATTTGTTTGCTTTTACTAATGATGACTAATTGAATGAATTGATCGAATAGATTGTGTTCTCGAATCCAATCGGAGGTTTTGGCACATTATTAGGGCTTTTGGTTGTCTTAATCTTTGTTCAAATGGTTTTATTAATCCGAGCGCTCGAGTGGTATAAATTAATATCAATGTCATTAATGATATTAATTAATTCGTTGACTGTCTTTCGTTTGGTCCGATCTTTTGTTATATTGCGAGAAGTCTATAGAGTCGAGAGTCGACTCCAAGAGACTAATCACAATCTCAACTAATTGTCTAATTATGTGAACAAAATAATTATTTAATTAAATGCTATTTTCTATTTGTGTTATATCTGTTGCTATACTTTGTAATGCTATTTAAGTTCTCTAAGAAATATCTTTGTTAGTATTTTTCATGAATTGTTTTCGAAAGTTGTAAATTATAAACAAGACTCGAATTGACTTGAATTTGAAATATTTTTGTGATTACATTATTTAATTTGAAAGATAAAAAGTTGTCATTTTATTATAAATACTAATTTTAATGATTGAATGCATGATTGCAATCAATAGCTATAATCCGTCCACATCTCCGCCTTTACGGAAATCAGAATTTGCATAATAGAGATGATTGTGTCGGTTGACAGCCATAATGACACACATATCGCCCAAATCAGTGGTGTTATGCCCTAACTCTCTCAGACCTTGTAATATATCAGTTGGAAAATTTTTCTCAAAGTGCACGCGGTTTGGAAACAATTGGTGATGGATTCGCGGCCAATCAATCGCCGTTTTGATGTTCTCATTCATCCATAAGTGTCTTATAGCCACAGCCGCCACACCTGTTATTATTTTGGTACCGCCGGCGCCGCCGATTATAAGCCTAACGTTACCGAACCGGTCGGTCAATATTGAGGGACTCATAGAAGAGAGGGGATGTTTGGTGGGCTCTATGTTGTTATGTGTAGAGGGAGGGACACCGTATCCATTGGTATAGTTAGAGCTAAAGTCATCCATGTTGTCATTTAGTATAACTCCAGTCCTTTTTGACAATACTTTACTTCCGAAGCTTTAATCATATAAAACGTTGATATAATTACTGCATACAATTGTAGCAATTTGCAATACTTACACCATGTTAACAGTGGCCGAAATGGAGGCCGCGTTGCCATACATGTCGACAATAGAAACGTGAGAAGTGCCATGGTCGTCGTTCATGTATACGTCGGCCCCATAGTGTGCCGGATTGGCATACGTTTGCGAATCATTTATACTCTGATGAATATAATCAATGAATTGCTGTGAAGACAATCGACGCATAACTTGTTTCACATCTTCAAAGTCTTCGTCTCCCAAAAGCATTCTTTGGGAAAATCCGTATTTAGATGTTTCAATCAATCGGTGGTAAAATAGGATCGATGTGTTGAGCGATTTGAATGCGTTTGGGTACAGATCGTCAAAGTCTTGCATTACTCTCATTATGAATGATAAGATAATCCCAGATCCAGGCAATGGCATCGTATGTAATGTAATGTTATCTCTTTTAAATTGAGTCTTTATTACATTTTTGTTTTTATCGAGACTATAATTTTTGAAATCATCTAAACTTATAATTTCTGAGAAAATTGATTGAAATGCAAATAAAATGAATAATCAAATGCAACTCAATATACTTACCACTTATATTCCACTCTTTGGCCGCATCTTTGATATCACTGATTAAGTCCTGAGCAATGATTTCATCGTAAAATAATTTCAAAGGGTCTGAAGAATTGGCCAACATTTCCAATGTTTGAGACAATTTAGTTTGTATTAATGTCTCATTTTCTTTATAAACTTGGTCAGTTTTTTTATTTATAAATATTTCACTGAAAAATATTACACAAACGAATGCATAATTAAAATATTTGTTGTGTGAATGTATACCCAAATGATGGGTGACTTCTAATTTGATGTTCAGTTAATTTGATGCAATTTGCCATATTTTTTCCCACTTTGAAGCCATCCTTCGCGTACTTAATGGCGCCGTCAAAGAGTCGTTGCCATTCAATGAGACCGGATCTCTGATGAAGTTCCCAATAACCGGCGACTATACCGGCTGTGGCGATGGCCAGCGGTCCCGCATCTGACAGGTTTGCGTTATTGCGGAACATATTCTTGTGGGCAGTGATGGGCGCCCGCTCTCTGGCGTCGATCGCATACGACTCCTGAGACGTGCGGTTGTAAAACATGATAAGTCCGCCGCCGCCCAAACCCATTGAATCCGGGATTGTGACGCCCATACATAACAACATAGCTACAGCCGCGTCCGCTGCCGTTCCCTTCAAGCCTAATATATCTCTTCATATGGATTAGATTATTGAGTGATATTACGTGTCATTTGTTGTCCAATCAATTATAATTACCTCCCAATTGAGGCACAATCGGCCGAATCGGTCGAAACGGCAAAATCTTTAAATACACCTAATCTTGATTTGGACGTGAAATTATCGTTATAATGAGTATCACATGTAATACTTCCGCAAATTAGTGCTAATAATAAAACTACAGATGCTTTCATGGCTTATTATAATTTGTATTTAATTAATTGTTATGTTTATACCAACTATTAATTACGTTATATAAGTTTTTAATACATTTTGTTTAACTGAAAATAAGATTACAATAGATCTCAAGACTTTTTTGGACAATTGAATGATTAATATATTGCATTAAAAAGCATATAATATTTATTGATAAATTGCGCGAACAATGATTAGATAGTTTTAGGGCACAAATCAATTATATGATAAAATCCATGCATTAGTTATGTTTTTAAATTGAATAGAGGGTGGAGTGAGGCTCACAATTAAACCCATACCCCGTCCCCCACTTTACCGATTAATATGATATAACTTTTAAATTATATAACATTTGTTAATATATGTTTAATATTGAATGATCATTTGTTAACGTTGTCATGTTATTAGTCTACGGTATAATAGAAACTTCCAATTATAAAGTTATCACAATTATCACCTTAATTAATAAATATTTCTAATATTAAATTGATAAATATTTTATTTTTAAGAATTAAGTTGTTTTGAAAATTTATTCAATTGATAAAATATGTTATTCTAAAGAATTATATATTCAATACATTGTATATTGTTTTGGTTTACACTTAACATTTTGATAACAATATATTTCACTTTATATTATTTTTTATAACAATATTCCCAAAAATTGTAATTTTATCTAGAAAGTAGTTCACAACAAACCTATTTCACTGATATATTTATACTCTATTGATTAATATTTAATATTTCTTCACTAAAAATATGTTTAAACAAATATTCTACGAGTTGTCAGGAAATATGATAACTTTAAAAAGTTTTCAATTTAAATTGGAGTTATTAAATGATGTCTAAAAATAAATCCTTTCTATTTTATTCTTAAAATAATCAATACATTTAATATTGAAAACGTGATGTACTACGTGAAGTAAGCACTCGTCAAACTTTAGTTCAATTATTATTTATGGTTTGATTTCAGTTTTGTCTTTATATCGACTGGAGATCTATTTTTATACACTTATATCAAAAAGTGTTTTGTTTTTAAAAACAATCAA